AAATTCCATGGTTGAATGGTTAGGTGGGAGCAATAAAATAAGACTCTGAAGCAACATGTGACACAAAAACAGGTTCATAAAATAAGCAATTGTTTTTTGTTTTTTCTACTGGGATGGAGATTCACATATGTTACTCTATATATATTGCAAGTGTAGACTGCCAACTCATGTCATTTCAGTGAAGTGAAGTTACTAAACTTCTTCCCAGTTTCTCGGTGCCACGACAACACAACACAAATAATGGAAAACATACTAGCAAAGAAATGGGGTTTGCAAGCTAACCAAACCATTCGAAGGGTGGTCACCACATTGATTGATAATCTTAACAAAGACAATATAAGACTCACCATTTCTTTCGGCTATGGCGACCCCTCTATCTTTCCCAGCTATAGGACTGCTACTGTAGCCGAAGATGCCGTTGTTGATGCCCTCCGCTCTGCCAACCATAATTGCTATTCACCCGCTGTTGGTGTTCTCCCAGCTAGAAGGTAAATATAACATTTCCTACATATTTGTTTGTAATTAAGCATATGCTTATTTAAGTATGTTTTGGTTTGTTACCTAGAATAACTCGTTTGGCTGTGTTGTGAGTTGAAAGGCACTAGTTTCGAGAGAGCTTGCTAAGAATATATACGGAAGAAACTGTTATGCCAAAAATACACACGCACCATCAATCAGAGTTCAACAAGCACTTAAAGATAGAGTGGTATTCACTGTCAAAAACTCAAACCACCTCCAAAAGATATTTTATATCAATCCTATTCCATTTTAAGATAAGGATTAGAGATATTTTATATCAATTCTATCCCATTTTAAAATAAGGATTAAGGACTAGTTCTCAGGTGTCAAGACAACTTGCAAAATCACTCATTATATTGACCTCAAAGGTGTATAAATAGGCACCCCTCTTCATGAAAAAGGGGCTGGCTAGGCATATGAGAGCTAGACAAATATTTGATCTTTATTATTTTTTCTCTGTAGACAAAACATTTCTCCATTTTTGTATGTCTTATAGGGAATATCAGAAAAATAGCCAGAAAATAATAAAATAACATTGAATGTAGGATTTGCTTTAAGCATTCGAACCACCATAAAAATCTCCTTGTCAATCAATTATTTATGTTTTTGCAAACATATATAATCTCAGCATCATAAACACTTCTTATGAATCATTAACGTGTAATTTATAAGTCAGCTTAACACTTTATATATGCAAGTCGTTGGTATCAAAATCAAGCATCAACAAAAACTATGATAATATCACTGAACATTGACTGTTAAAAAAAAAACTAAAAGAAGGTAGTTGTCCACAAAAGTTAATAGCCATTTAAAGGATGCAAAAAGATCTATGTAGAATAAGATTTAAAACTTTGTGTGTGTGTGTGTATAACATAATAGGATATAAAACTTACAAATACTTTAGTATAAAAAAACTACAACAGGGTGAACTAACGGCAGTATGTAAAATTACAGTGCAGAAACTATATAAATGATCAGTATTGTTAAATGTTAAACTAAACAAATATTGAACTATGACAGGGCCATTGCAGATTATCTCACTCGTGATTTACCATACAAGGTATCCACAGATGATGTTTATCTTACGGCAGGAAGCAAGCAAGCTATTGAAGTTATATTAGCTGTTCTTGCCCGTCCTGGTGCCAATATTTTGCTTCCAAGAACTAGCTACCCATTCTATGAAGATTTTGCGAGTCATCTCAATCTTGAATTTCGCCATTTTGATCTTCTTCCAGAAAAGAATTGGGAGGTTGATCTTGATGCTATGGAAGCTCTAGCAGATGAGAATACTCTTGCTATGGTTATTATTAATCCTGGCAATCCTTGTGGAAATGTCTTTACTTACCAACATTTGCAGAAGGTATGCAAATATATTTTTGTTTCTTTTTCTATTTATTTCTTTCCTTAGTTTGCTGGAGGCCATAAGTGAATACCTTTTTGAGGAAATAAAATGTTGATATTTAATATTAGTGAATGATGATTTCATGAAAATATATTAGATTGCAGAGACAGCAAGAAAGCTCGGGATAATGGTAATTTCTGATGAAGTTTATGAGAATATCACATTTGGCACTACCCCTTATGTGCGAATGGGTGTGTTTGGATCAATGGTGCCTGTCCTTACACTTGGATCATTATCAAAGAGATGGATAGTTCCTGGTTGGCGGCTTGGTTGGCTTGTGACATATGATCCCAATGGCATCCTTCAAAAATTAGGGGTCTGCCTTCAAATACCTATATTTGTGTTTTAAACCTACTATAATAATCTTGACATGATATTGATATTTTCATTTTTGTACTTGCCAGATTCTGGACTGCATTAAGGACTATCTAAATATTTCCTCTGATCCTGCAACCTTCGTTTAGGTTGGCAATTTATGATGTTCTTAGAGATGAATGTAAATCATATTGAAACAGAGTAATACCTATTCATCTCTTAAGTACAGTAGAATTAACAAAGATTCATTCTGAACTTATGTAAAAATTTACCCAAATAAATTTTGGGTGTACTCACCTTGAAGAGTATAATTTGTAGTGTTGAGAATTTAGTTTTTCAAGTCAAATTCTCTTGATTTTCACCTTGAAAACTTAATTATTGAATGCGGCAGGGAGCAGTTCCTCAAATCCTTGAGAACACCAAGGAGGATTTCTTCTCAAAAATCATTTGCATACAAGGAGAAGCTGTGGACATATGCTGCAATAGAATTGAGGAGATACCTTGCGTAACTTGTCCAAAGAAACCTGAAGGTTCCATGTTTGTAATGGTGAGAGGTGAGGTCAAATATAATCATATTATCTATATATCTATGCGTCAGGAGATGAGCGTATACCATTTTCCGTACTACTATTGCAGGTGAAGCTGAACCCTTCACTGTTGGAAAACATTAATGATGACATGGAATTCTCTCTCAAGCTTGCAAAAGAGGAATCAGTCATTGTTTTACCAGGTATGATATAAAATTTCTAAAATTTCTGGGTTTCGGATATTGAATTCTGAGCTTACCAATATGATAACCTCTAGCCTTCTCTGCTATATTGAAAGCAAATAATGGAAAATGGGCTTAATTTATCCCCCAGATTGTGTCAGTGGAAAATGCATTTGGTTTTATAGTTTTGTTGTCCTAAATCAAGTAGGGGAAAGGAGTAAAAAATTTAAAATTGAACATTTAAAACCTCCCTTTGGACTGTTTGCAGACTTGACATTATACATTGTCTAACCCTTTTGAAGCAGATAAACAAATCTTGCAGGAATAACAGTAAACATGAAAAATTGGCTCCGTTTATCTTTTGCGGTTGAGCTTTCAACTATGGAACAGGGTTTTGGGAGGATAAAAGCCTTTTGTCATAGACATGCCAAGAAGCAATAAATGTGTGTAAGTTATGAGATCGATAATAGGATGTTGATCTCAACTCATGCTCCATAGTTTCCCCTTCTCAAATAAATTTGGTCATGTGCAATTCAATCAATAAGGGCCAATGGTGATTGGCTTTGGCTACTCCGCATTGGATCAAAAGTGTTACTGGTTTGTTCTTTATTCAAAAGATTTCCTTTTATCAAGGAGTGTCGTCGCCAGTTGTGTGAATTTTTTATTGTTTTTATGTTATTAAATTCCTTATATATTGAACATGTTGCCTATTTTTTTTTTTCTTTTCTTTTCTTTACCTTATTTTCTGATGATAGCATAAATTGAATGATATATATCTAAAGTTACACAACACAACCAAAACATAAATGTTAATAATTACTTTTAAAATAAAAATAAAAATATTAAATAAGTAAGTTTCACACTCTGATCCAAATTTATCAATTATTACGGAAATGCTATTATTATGCCAGTTCTTTATAATCCAATCCCATATTACTGCCAACTATGAGATACTGTAGTAAGCAGAGGGATTGAATTTGAGAACCCAGGTTGAAATCAACATTTTATAAAATTAAAAAATAAACACTCTTGTTATTCTTGATGGAGATTTGTATTTATTGGGCCGTATGTCTACTGGAAGCGTGGCGGACTCTCAGGCTCCCAGCCCCAGCTCATAGTCACTGAACTCAACCTCTTGCCGCCACAAAACAGAAAATATAGTAGCTGGGAAATGGGCTTTGCATTGCAAGCTGACCAAGACCTCACTACTGCATCTAGCATCACCATTAAAGGAGTGGTGATGAAGTTAATGGACAATATCAACAAAGATGATCCAAGACCCACCATTCCTTGAGGCCATGGCAACTCCTCCGCCTTTCCAGCTTTCGGACTGCTACTGTAGCTGAAGATGCCATGTTCATGCTCTCCGCTCCGCCAATTATGATTGCTATTCACCCACTAGTGGTGTTCTCCCAGCTGGAAGGTAGATTTAACATTTTAGGCATGAGAATATGTTTATCTTGCTGGAATTGACGACCACTTCAATAATAAGGGGTTCCCTTACAAGGGATGAACATGTTGTCTCTTAGAATAACACCGTAGACAGAAAGTTAATCCCTTCATTTATTTATATTGTGCCAAGTAAAATTTTGGGGCCAGGAATATTGAAGAGGAACTTAATAAGTAAAACAAAATTCACATCCACGTTATGGACAGAACTTGAATAGAATCGTTGCTCTATTCATCAGTTTCAGATTCTCAAAAGCAATCTGAATTTTTGTTCCTTCGTAATACTGTGACAGCTATATATAGGATAAAGGATTTGGTCCTTATATTCGGAAAGAAGTGTGCAAATAGTTTCATTCCATAATTTATTAACTCAATCATTCTATTTAAAAAAAAAAAATTAAGAAATTAAAACAATCAAATTTGTATTTAAGTCTCGAAATAAAGAGCCACATCTTTGTTTTTTAAGAAGTTGGTAAAGTTCGTTAAAAGTTAAAGCTCCATTAAGATATTTTTTATTAAAAAATTCTTAAGATAATTTTGATATCAACCAGGGGTTTGAAAAACAACTGGACAATAAAAAATAAAAAAATCGGATGTACTCCAATCTTATTTCTACTGAATTTGGCTCTATATGTTGTCGGTGTATCCTATGTTGACTTGAAACTCCCACCGGACCGCAGAACATGGAGAACGAATCCACAAAGAAATGGGGTTTTCAAGTTCACCAAAGGTTCAAGACAGAATCTGCAATAACACTTCGAGCGGCGCTTACTAGCTTAACTGAAAATATTGACCAAAACGACTCAAGACCAACCATTCCTCTGGGCCATGGCGACCCCTCCGTGTTTCCTAGCTTTCGAACTGCTAATGTAGTGGAAGATGCCATCATTGATGCCGTTAGATCCACCAAGTTTAACTGCTATGGACCATTCTTTGGTATTCTCCCAGCTAGAAGGTGAGTAGCATATTTTACACATTCTTATGAATACCTAGTGTATTATCGAAGATCTTTAAACAGATTTGTATTGTAAAGTCGTGAAGCACATAAACTTGATTCCAGTTCTAACGCTTTATAAGTTTTGGTCAGGTTCTGAAAAGTCTGAAAGTCAAAATACAACTTAAAAAGATTAGATAATGATTAATCAGAGACTTCATAATATCATTTTTAACTTTGAGGATAAAAGATGTATGTTGAAAAGTCAATAAGGAGATGTGAAGAGAAGTTGGAAGTTGAAATGAAACCAGTTAGGAATTTGACTATTTAAGGTATCACTTCAATTTCTAATTACCATTAATACTAGTATCCAAAATGATGGATTTGATTTAATTCCATTCTATTTCCATGTAGCTAGGCAAGGTTGACTAGTGTATGGTTGAAGTAGGTTTATGGGCTGGTCATTTTTACATCAATCATACAGTAAACTCGTCAATAAACAATGACATGTTTGGAGTTTCTCATATTTAGAATCATTCAAATCTTTCTGGAAAAAACTTGTTCAGTAGGCGTTCCATGGCATAGAACTAAATTCAATGATTAATTTAACAATCATAAACATGTAATAAAGTACACACAATCTGCTCATTTTTGTGTAATGTTATATATTTTGTCATGTCACTTGATGTTAAACCCTACAGGGCCGTTGCAGATTATCTCAACGGAGACCTCCCATATACGTTGTCACCAGATGATGTTTATCTTACCCTTGGATGCAAGCAGGCAATAACAGTTATATTATCAGTCCTTCTCCGTCCTGGTGCCAACATTTTGCTTCCAAGACCTGGTTGGCCATACTATGAAACTTTCACAAGACAGAACAATGTTGAAGCTCGCCTTTTTGATCTTCTTCCAGAAAAGGGTTGGGAGGTTGATCTTGATGCAGTGGAAGCCCTTGCAGATAAGAATACTGTTGCCATGGTTATCATTAATCCTGGCAATCCTTGTGGAAATGTCTTCACTTACCAACATCTGCAGAAGGTGTAGCTAATTAAACTACTTTTCTTTCTTTCTCTGTTCTTCTTCTTCTTTGCTTTAACTTTAGTTTCCTCGAGAGTCTTGAATTACTTTTAAGCATATGAAAACTGAGAAGCATCTCATTTGGTAATCTGACAAAATGCTAGTGTACATCTAATTAAGAAAATATGTTAGCGGCTATGTTGCAGTTCTTTTACAACGTTATAGACTTGCTAAAGTTAATAAGTTGTTCTAAATTTTTGCTTCAACGTTTAACTTGATGAGTACAGTTCATAAGTGGTTGTTTATTTATCCAACATCAGATTGCAGAAACAGCAAGAAAACTTAGGATTATGGTAATTTCTGATGAAGTCTATGACCATCTCACATTTGGGAATACCCCTTATGTGCGAATGGGAGTATTTGGATCAACAGTGCCTGTTATTACCCTTGGATCTATATCAAAGAGATGGATAGTGCCTGGCTGGCGGCTTGGTTGGCTTGTGACATGTGATCCCAATGGCATCCTTCAGAAATCAGGGGTTGGCTTCTCTCTCTCCATCTTGCCCTTAATTTGTCGATTGATGATATATGTCATGTATGTTGTAGAAATCCTGAGATTTATGCTCCTAATTTTACTTGTCAGGTTGTTGATTCCATCAAGGAATATATCAATATCACCTCGAATCCTGCAGCAACCTTAATTCAGGTTTGCGATTTTTTATGCTTTTCTTGAGAAAGAAAATAACACTGCTTCAGGTGTCAGCATGACTTTGACTTGCAACACTCCATCAGCCTATTGAGGTTTATCTTAATATGTTCGGGTCTTTTAACCTGAAAAGGGCTTTCTCATTGACCAACATAACTAGACAAGAGATGGGTTTCCCATAAAATTCTTCATCAAAAACATAGAAACCCAAAATTCCTGCAATATATGATTTTGATGCATTAATTTTTACTTCAATTCATCCTTGAGATTTATGGCAACTTAGTTGACTTGAACTTCTAAAATGTTACCATGTAGTGTCATTGGGCATCTTAATTTTTCTTTTTCGTTTTTTAAATTTTATATAACTGTTAAGTTCATTGTTCTAATTTCTGTATGTCTACGAATTTTAGTCATTCAAAGATACAGTATCTTAAATATGTCTTGTAGCAAGACTAGTAGGTTCCAATAGCAAAAATATGGTGATAAATAGATAGATTTCCATATGTCTTTGTTATTGTTGGTTTTTAGAGCTAGAGTATACTAAGGAAAGAAGACCAAAACAGACGTGAGAGAGAGATGTAGAGAGGGAAAATTTGAACTGAAATTTTGCTCTATTTTTCATTCATAAAATAGGGGTGATTTAAGCACAAAGTCAGTCCACTGTTTCACCTAATGCAGTGGATATTTTACAAGTTTAAATTTAAACTAAACACACACAACTAATACAAGTGCAAGCATTTCAAATACATTACTTAATCAAAGCTGAATTCACCTAAACACATCACTAATGAATATTACAAAAGTCTTTCAAAACAGTGACAAAAACAAAAACTACTGCTTCACGCACAGCAGAATTTCAAACCATGGCGCCAAAATCTTGCAACTCTCACCGTCTGTTGACTTCATCATTTCCAGCAAGATATCATCATCTTCAACAGTTATGATGTGAAAAACACTGAGCATTCTGGTTTTACATGTCGTGCATATTTATTCTCTTGACTTTCCCCTTACAATTGTATGCATTTTTGTTTATGATAGGGCGCAGTTCCTCAAATCCTTGAGAAAACAGAGGAGGCTTTCTATTCCAAAATCATTGACATTCTAAGGGTGGCTGCAGACATATGCTATAACAGAATTAAGGAGATACCTTGCATATATTGCCTAAACAAACCAGAGGGGTCCATGTTTGTAATGGTAATTGATCTATATAATTTGATTTTCTATGATTCGTAAAAGGGATGCATACTTAGTATGAACTTTTATTGCAGGTGAAGCTGAACCCATCATTGTTGGAAGACATTAATGATGACATGGAATTCTGTCTCAAGCTTGCTAAAGAGGAATCAGTCATCGTTTTACCAGGTAAAAATAAGATACTCAAAAGCTTTGAGTTTCTAGGATTAGGGAGACTGAATTCCTGACTTTATTAGCATAATACTAGCTAGCTTCAGTTCTCCTATAATACTTGTTCTGTTATTTGAAACCATTACTCAAGAAAAGGACTGAAATTATTCACCATCAGTTGAGGAAGTTTTGACTTTCAATCGGTAGGCATACACTTATACATCTTCAGCAATTGTGGGTGGATAAATTTTGTACCAATGTTTCTCTTGAGTGCTGAACAAGATTTAATTGCTGGCTATCTTTGATGCTGATGATAAACAAATTCTGCAGGGATAGTTGTGGGAATGAATAATTGGCTCCGCATAACCTTTGCTGTTGAACCTTCAGCACTTGAAGATGGGCTTGGGAGGATTAAAGCCTTTTATTACAGGCATGCCAAGAAGTAATAAATCTATATGAAGTCATGAAATGGAGTATGGTGATCAAAATAGCTACTTGATCTCCTCTCCTGCTTCATAGTTTACTCTTGCTAGTGACTGCAAATAAAATCAGCTCTTTCTCAGTATGAGCAATTCGATAAAAAAAAACATAAGAAAAAGTGGGCAGTGGTGGTCGGCAACTCCTCGTTGGACCACAGATGTGATTTGGCATTCACACAATGTTCGTATATAATTAAGTTGCTTAAATTGCTTATGTTTGACTTGATTTGTTCAGTTCACCATTTTATGAAAAGGATTCTACGGATTTCTTTGATCTTTTAGTTTGCATAAAAATAGCACAGTAACAGAAGTAATCCATTTGCTTACGCAAGAGAAATCTAAGAATCAAGATAGATTAACTTGAGTCTACATGATGCAAAAATGTTCACATCCCATAGGTTAAGAAAGATTATATATCTGTTAGTGTATGTGCCCTGAAACCAATGATATATGTAAGGTTTAGGGAAACATTTATATATAAATTTTATAATGTTTTATCATTAATAAAATGACGATTATTCTACGCCATTTTGTGTTATTTATATTTAATTAAGTTGCGTATGTCCCTGAGCTTGTTCTGGAAATAATTCTATTTTTAAAGAGTTTGAGAATATGAGTATCAAGATTCTTTCATGTGACTCGCTCTTAAGTATGTTCCTGATTAGATGTGATAATAATCAGGGGCAATATTATCGTTAGATCAACATTACTGTGTGCCGCCATTGATTAGCATGAGATGTTGATGGTTGGGTGATGAGATTCATATCATAAGGGCACGAGTAATGAGGTGATTTATTAGAGAATGAAGCATCGAACGTGACTGTTGGACAATTGATCACATGGTATAATATCTTCAGTCAATGATCATCGTTGCGTTAGTGTCACTTTATCCCTAGACTTGAGATGCGATCATGTCTTGTGCATGGGAGCTTGTGGTTCTTCAGTACGTTATCACTAGACTGTTTATATCTAGTGTGTAATGCTTGTTGGTCATGAATTAATCATGTACGAAGTCATATGCGTATTCAATAAGGAATTTGATGGCTCGGATATTACGAGCTTGAGTGTTCCAAGGGATCAACGAATGTGGAGGAAGTCTTTGGCCAAGGCATTTGTGTTTTATGAATAGATTCATAGAAACACAATTCTACATTTTAAGATGATCCGAATTATGTGATCAAGTTAGGGATTTGACTATACTATGGTCTGCACTTGATCAGAACACGACATCGGAGGGAATGAGGTGACATGACTGAAACGCTTAATTTTACAGGTTCATATGATCCCACTTCATTCATTGATTGGGGGCTATGATATACTGCTAGGTGTCACTCATGGTCTATAAGGAAGATGGATATCAAGAGTTGATATTTACCTTACTGTCAATCGATAAATGAACCTAGAAAGGTCACACACATTATGGATTTCTAAGCTTGATGGGAATCATGGCTTTTCTCATTAAAGAGTTAATGAAGATATTGAAGTTTCCATAACTTATAATTGACTAATTAGTATAATTGGTTAAAAGGGTATTTTTTTAATTGGATAAACTAATTAAATTAATTAATTAATTGTTGATTAATTAGTTAAATTAATTAATTAAAAATCAAGAATGGATTCAATAATTAAACTTGGACCTAAATTGGGCTAGCACTCAAATGGGCCTAGGTTTAGTTATTAGTTAATCCATCAGAGAATAACTTAAACTAGAATAAGATAATTCAGGGATTGCCTACTAATCCAATTTTGGTGGCTATTTAAAGAAGGCTTAGAGTTCATTATTTCATAAGAAGAGAAAAATTATAAGAAAACCCTTGCCACTGATATTCTCTGCCATCCCAAGGAGAAAGCTTTTTTTGATTCCATTATATATAGTGGGTTAATTCCCATCGATGAGAGATCCTGTGTGTATTAATCTAGAGGTACCACATTTGGGGTACTCAGTGAGGATTCAACAAGGAGAAAGAAAATAGCAAAGTAATCGGTAACCTACTATGACAGGGCCATTGCAGATTATCTCACTCGTGATTTACCATACAGGTATCCACAGATAATGTTTATCTTACGGCAGGAAGCAAGCAAGCTATTGAAGTATATTAGCTGTTCTTCCCGTCCGGTGCCAATATTTTGCTTCCAAAAGACCAGCTACCCATTCTATGAAGATTTTCGAGTCATCTCAATCTTGAATTTCGCCATTTTGATCTTCTTCCAGAAAAGAATTGGGAGGTTGATCTTGATGCTATGGAAGCTCTAGCAGATGAGAATACTCTTGCTATGGTTTTATTAATCCTGGCAATCCTTGTGGAAATGTCTTTACTTACCAACATTGCAGAAGGTATGCAAATATATTTTTGTTTCTTTTTCATTTATTTCTTTCCTTAGTTTGCTGAGGCCTAAGTGAATACCTTTTTGAGGAAATAAAATGTTTGATATTAATATAGTGAATGATGATTTCATGAAAATATTAATTGCAGAGACAGCAAGAAAGCTCGGGATAATGGTAATTTTGATGAAGTTTATGAGAATATCACATTTGGAACTACCCCTTATGTGCGAATGGGTGTGTTTGGATCAATGGTGCCTGTCCTTACACTTGGAGTGATCATTATCAAAGAGATGGATAGTTCCTGGTTGGCGGCTTGGTTGCTTGTGACATTGATCCCAATGGCATCCTTCAAAAATTAGGGTCGCCTTCAAATACCTATATTTGGTTTTAAAACCTACTATAATAATCTTGACATGATTGATATTTTCATTTTTGTACTTGCCAGATTCTGGACTGCATTAAGGACTATCTATATTTCCTCTATCCTGCAACCTTCGTTTGGTTGGCAATTATGATGTTCTTGAGAGATGTAAATCATATGAAACAGAGTAATACCTATTCATCTCTTAAGTACAGTAGAATTAACAAAGATTCATCCTGAACTTATGTAAAAATTTACCCAAATAAATTTGGGTGTACTCACCTTGAAAGTATAATTTGTAGTTTGAGAATTTAGTTTTTCAATCAAATTCTCTTGATTTTCACCTTGAAAACTTAATTATTGAATGCGGCAGGGAGCAGTTCCTCAAATCCTGAGAACACCAAGGAGGATTTCTCTCAAAAATCATTTGCATACAGGAGAAGCTGTGGACATATGCTGCGATAAATTGAGGAGATACCTTGCTAACTTGTCCAAAGAAACCTGAAGGTTCCATGTTTAATGGTGAGGTGAGGTCAAATATAATCATATTTCTATATATCTAGCGCTCAGGAATGAGCGTATACCATTTTCCGTACTACTATTGCGGTGAAGCTGAACCCTTCACTGTGAAACATTAATGATGACATGGAATTCTCTCAAGCTTGCAAAAGAGGAATCAGTCATTGTTTTACCAGGTATGATAAAATTTCTAAAATTTCTGGGTTTCGATATTGATCTGAGCTTACCAATATGATAACCTCTAGCCTTCTCTGCTATATTGAAACAAATTGGAAAATGGGCTTAATTTATCCCCAGATTGTGTCAGTGGAAAATGCATTTGGGTTTATAGTTTTGTTGTCCTAAATCAAGTAGGGAAAGGAGTAAAAAATTTAAAATTGAACATTAAAACCTCCCTTTGGACTGTTTGCAGACTTGACGTATACATTGTCAACCCTTTTGAAGCGAAAACAAATCTTGCAGGAATAACAGTAAACATGAAAATTGGCTCCGTTTATCTTTTGCGGTTGAGCTTTCAACTATGGAACGGGGTTTTGGGAGGATAAAAGCCTTTTGTCATAGACATGCCAAGAAGCAATAAATGTAAGTTATAGGATATGATCGATAATAGGATGTTGATCTCAACTCATGCTCCATAGTTTCCCCTTCTCAAATAAATTTGGTTATGTGCAATTAATCAATAAGGGCCATGGTGATTGGCTTTGGCTACTCCGCTTGGATCAAAAGTGTTACTGGTTGTCTTTATTCAAAAGATTTCCTTTACGGGAGTGTCGTCGCCAGTGTGTGTGAATTTCTTATTGTTTTTATGTTTAAAAATTCCTTATTATGAACATGTTGCCTATTTTTTTTTTTTTTTCTTTTCTTTACCTTATTTTCTGATGATAGCATAAATTGAATGATATATATCTAAAGTTACACAACACAACCAAAACTAAATGTTAATAATTACTTTTAAAATAAAAATATTAATAAGTTTCACACTCTGATCCAAATTTATCAATTATTACGAAATGCTATTATTATGCCAGTTCTTTATAATCCAATCCCATATTACTGCCAACTATGAGATACTGTAGTAAGCAGAGGGGATTGAATTTGAGAACCCAGGTTGAAATCAACATTTTATAAAAATAAAAATAAACCTCTTGTTATTCTTGATGGAGATTTGTATTTTTGGGCCGTATGTCTACTGGAAGCGTGGCGGACTCTCAGGCTCCCAGCCCCAGCTCTAGTCACTGAACTCAACCTCTTGCCGCCACAAAACAGAAAATATAGTGCTGGAAATGGGCTTTGCATTGCAAGCTGACCAAGACCTCACTACTGCATCTAGCATCACCATTAAAGGAGTGGTGATGAAGTTAATGCCAATATCACCAAATGATCCAAGACCCACCATTCCTTGAGGCCATGGCAACTCCTCCGCCTTTCCAGCTTTCGGACTGCTACTGTAGCTGAAGATGCCATTGTTCATGCTCTCCGCTCCGCCAATTATATGCTATTCACCCACTATGGTGTTCTCCGCATGGAAGGTAGATTTAACATTTTAGGCATGAGAATATGTTTATCTTGCTGGAATTGACGACCACTTCAATAATAAGGTTCCCTTACAAGGGATGAACATGTTGTCTCTTAGAATAACACCGTAGACGAAAGTTATCCCTTCATTTATTTATATTGTTGCCAAGTAAAATTTTGGGGCCGGAATATTGAAGGAACTTAATAAGTAAAACAAAATTCACATCCCTTATGGACAGATCTTGAATAGAATCGTTGTTCTATTCATAGTTTCGGATTCTCAAAAGCAATCTGAATTTTTGTTCCTTCGTAATACTGTGACACGCTATATATAGGATAAAGGATTTGTCCTTATATTCGGAAAGAAGTGTGCAAATAGTTTCATTCCATAACTTATTACTCAATCATTCTATTTAAAAAAAAAAAAAATTAAATTAAAACAATCAAATTTGTATTTAAGTTTCGAATAAAGAGCCACATCTTTGTTTTTTAAGAGTTGTGAAGTTCGTTAAAAGTTAAGCTCCATTAAGATATTTTTTATAAAAATTCTTAAGA